GGAATTAAGTAGGTAATTCTACATTATTAAAAACTGTGTTTGGGCTGCTTGTGTTGAATCTCACAGTAAGTTTTTTTTCTTTCACATTTAGTTATTCCTTTAATGTTATAGTATTTCCCTTCATTTGAATTACATTTGTTACTATGGAAACAAGGAAGCATGGAGTTTCCGAATATTCAAACAGTAAAGTCAATGTACATAAGTTTTTGTATTTAAAGCAGGATATGTAAATATATTATTCTTATTATGATTTTCAAGATTGTTTATTTGGAATAAAGTAATTATATAAATTAGCTCCAGTAAAGTAGAATAAAGTTTCATTGGATTTAAAATGGTATAAATGACAGGAGAATTAGGCTGTTATATTAATTATATTGTGTATTTCGGTTAGTTGGTTTGTTGTTACACAAAGGATCATATATGAGAAAGGGAAAATCTAATTATCCTATTATTTATTTTAATAGAAAGAACACTGAGTTTACATTAGTAGAATGAAATAAAGAGAAAGCACAAAAATAGATAAGCAAAGATGTCAGAAACCATTTCTCCATTTATGCTTCATATAAAAAGCAATACTGAAAAGAGAGGTCAGTCTTCTTGGATACTCACTTGTCTCATTCCAATACTCAGCTTTTAACCTGGTTATCATCTAATTCTATACTCATGTTAGGCTAGGATTCAATTGAGTTAAAGATTTTTAAACTCACTGCCAGTCAACCTTATCATGAACTCTCATTATATGCATGTAATTAATTGGGTCCAATGAACAATATCAGCACTGAGTTATAGACTTTTCCCCCCACCATATAATTAGAATATAATTACCCACAGGATATCAGAATGATGCAAAACCTTTCCTCTAAATGTGCCCTCATTAGGAAACAAGTCTCAATGTACATTTATTCAATCAGTGTGAATTAATTAAAACGTTACTGAAATAAGAGAGGGTAACATTAAAGTGTATCTGACATCTATTAAAAGACTATCACTTGAGATCTGCATGCACAGTTTATAACTAAACTCATTTAACTCAAGCAAGAAACTTCATCATGCAATACATCACATTTATTCTAAATTAGAATGGTGAATACGTGAATTAGACTATTTTTAAAGTAAATAAACTATATCTTACTAAAACATAGGAACGTGAGAAATGCTGGTAAAAGATGGATTCCTGAAAGATCTCGTGTCAATCTTCTGCTGTGTACACCATGTTAATTTCCAAAACATTTGTTTCCCCTATTTTGCAGCTGAGAACTTTGCCAACTGAATCTATAAATAAAATACGACAAAAAAAATCTACCTCTTTTTTTTGTTTGTAATTCTGAAGGGTGCTTTGAGTTTGAATGGAAAACATCAATTTTACTTATTCTCAGACCCTGCTCTTCTAGCTAGCTGTTAGTTCCTATTTTAGACAGTTTCTTGCATTTCCTATTTCAGAGACAGAATTTTCTTTATGTGCAAATAAAAACACAAAATACAAATGATTTTCCCTGCCTTCCCCACCCCCAACACATTTAACAATCTTGACATTTTACTACTACTGCAAACTGGTGAATCTGTGTGAATGTATTCAAATTAATTTGTAATAATTCTATGAACAAAAGAATGAATCAGTAAAACCCTGTAGATTACAGAAACTTCCTGTGATCCTAGAAGATACTTTGTATTTATATATCCATAAGCTTGGATATAGATCCACTGAACTTAGTGGGGCTTAATGCAGATTGCAGGGGTTTGCCCACACGTTGTAACTTGCAAGATAGGGGACCACAAGTCTCTACTGCTATATGTATGAGCTCAAGAGGTTTTTTCCTGCTTGTTTGATTTGTTTTTTTGATGGTCAGTTGTTTGGCTTTTACAGCAAGCATAGGCCTAGGGAATAAAGATGACAACCACTAACTGGGGGGATCTTGTCTTTGGGAAGCAGTTTGAAAACAGGGGACAAAGCTGCTAGGTCTCCACAGAGACCAAGATACCAGGTACTTAAAGTGAGGGTGATGCAAAGCTTCACATTCTCAATAGGAGAAATCTTGGGAGTGCAGCCCTAAGAGCACTAGAATTTGTATGCATTTCCAATAGGACACCAAAGGAAATGGAACAGATATAAAATGTCTCATTCCTGTTGAACGCAAGACTTTTGACAGTCCATATGAAAGAAACTACCTTGAATTATGCCCACCAGATCTCAGAAAGTAGTCTGAGCTCCAATAAGTGACACCTGGGAAGAAGAAAACTGTTACATGAAACTATTTTCCTTGTATGGATTTTGTTGCATGACTTAAATTTGACATGTAAACCTGGGGAGAATCTGTTTTCTTTGGAGGAAAGTTTTAACAAAAAATAATTCCTCTAGGAAAGGAATAAAAATTGCTCTTTCCCATAGTCTCAGATTTCTACAAGATATGATTGCTCATTTGCTTTTGCTTTTTATGGCACAGTGTATATCCACTCAAAGATGCACAAAAAAAAAAATCACACTAATTCAGAGATCGTTATAGCTAAAGCAACATTCTGAATAATATATCCTATCCTTTCATATAAGGCACTGCATCTGAAATGCACTATTTCTGTTGAGGAGCATGCTTAACACTGCACACTTAGTAGATTACCTAACTCTGATTCTGGTTAACAACAGACACTTGCTACTTTTCTCTAGTTCTTGATGGTTATGGTTTCATCTTCACTGAAATGCTACATGCATCAAGAGGAATCCACATAAAGAGGAAATAGGAAAACTCAATTTAAAAATTACCAAGAAATCAGGTGTATGCTGTAGTCAATATTTCTAAACAGAATTCTTATTACCCATGCGAGTGATATGCTAGCAGTGATGCACATGCATATGTATTATTACATTAGAATACCCTTAGAGCAACTTATACTAGAATAAGGTACCCAGGTGGTAGCCATATTGGTCTAGAGGAAAAAGCAATCAGGTCTTGCAGACAGAGGTGATATCTCTTATTAAACCAACAAGGTTTTTGTAAAAAAAAAAATTCTTTAACTGCAAGCTTTCGGGCACAAGCACCCTTTGTGAGGCATTGGAGAACAGACAGTAAAAGTCCTCCTGGGTAGAAATGAAAGTTCATATTTCATAGGATTTCACAGAGAAGTCAACAGATGAACTTTCATTTCTACCCAGGAGGACTTTTACCGTCTGTTCTCCAATGCCTCACAAAGGGTGCTTGTGCCCGAAAGCTTGCAGTTAAAGAATTTTTTTTTTTTTTTACAAAAACCTTGTTGGTCTAATAAGAGATATCACCTCTGTCTGCAAGACCTGATATACTAGAGTAATATATTCTAAGAATTTTCTAATCTAATACTAATTATAAATATATAATCAGAATATATTTTCATAAAAATCAGCTGGCTGACCAAGCATACTGGATTGTAAAATAATAAAGTTTCCACTGAAACACAGTACACCAAAAATCAACTTTGCTTCCTTTCTTGTGATTTATGTACAGTACTGACATGTACTTTTCAAGTAAAACTATCTGTATGTAGTCAGAGACAATATCTATTTATTTTAGAACAACTTTACATATTTTTAGAACCAAATATTTTAAAACAAAAATATTTTTCATTACTTTTTTTTGCCTTTTAAATCTGCAGATTCAGCAGTGCTGTGCAAGGGTGAACTGGAATCAAAACTGGATTGTAAGAACAGTAAAAGTGCTAAATTAATTCAATTGCAGAACCAAATTCTACTTCTTCTGCACCTGCAAAACACCATGGAAGAAAATGGGCTCACACAAATATAGATGAGGGCAAAATTTCAGCTGCAGAGCCTTTACTACTAGTTATGATGCACAAGTGAGTATAAAACCAGCTTGAGTTATACATCTCAGATAGTTTGTAGGATTGATATACTATAAATTTGGTAAGTATAATCTGGAGTCATGGAATTGCAATCATCAAAGAATCCCAAACAATTATATTTCAGTAATTTTTTCAGAGCAGACCCATACTACCATTTTTGCAATCTACATCATTACAGAACATTTTGGAAATTACCATATTAGCTTTTTACTTACATCATCACCAGGTTGCCACTGTTTTAACTTCTTTGGTTGCTGTAGAGTGACTCTTACATTATAAATCATACAGAATCTTCAACAAGCAGGAGTAGTTTTAAAATTACCAGCAACAGATTTAAGTTTTAACAGTCATTTTTCCTGTTTTTATGACTACTCTAGTTTAGTTGACTTCATGCTTTCTCAAATTCAACTATTATTTTTATTATAAAGTAAATTTAAAATGAGAGGTCCGTGTATATCATACCTACTATTAGCATTAATGTGATGATGCTGTGACTTTCATGAGCATAAAAAATCAATTTAACATTAAATTCATATACAAGTTAATTTTGAACGTGTCTATCCATGAGAAACTGCTTGGCTTTTTTTCAGTGCTACGTACATACAGTAGGTATTTCTATTTTCATTTAATTGAGTTATTGTTTTTGTGGACAGTGAAATTTACTGTCCACTCCTGCAGAATAAAATACACCATAATATTGATGCATAGCTTGCTACAAGGCCAATGTCATCACTCTAGGTAACCTCCGGCTTAGATGAGAGAACTCAGCATTGCAGATATACAATATGCATCCCAAGCAAAAACTGCCCATAAGAATAACTTCATTATTCTGGGAAGTTGGATCTATAAAAGATGTAAAATGTAGAAGTGTTCTGCCTATACAATTTCTGGTAAGTACAATACGACTAAGTGATAAAACCTGAGTCAGCTTCAGTTACAGTATGTTATATAGTAGAGCGCTCCTACAGAAAGTTCATTGTCATATGAAGGAAAATGCAATATATTGGGGAAAAATGTATTTCTGCCTGTAAGTAATAAACTAGAATTATTTGTTCTGTTTTGGGGTTTATATTGGGTTGTCAAATTAGCAAAAAAGTTAGTGATCAAGTATTTAACGCAGGTTTTTCCAATATCTTTGATATAGGTCTTTATTAGACAAGAGACCATGAACTCACCAATACTACTGGACAGATTGATGTGGGTGGTAAAATGTGGTCTTTCAATGGTCCACAGTCACATTCAGGCTTTAGATGTGAAGCGCATTTATTATGCAGCTGAGTAGAAAAGATAATAAATTACTATTCAACCACAAAATTATACTAGAATATTTCACAATGCCCCCATCCTATACAAAATACATATAGCTATACCAAATTAACCAAAGAACTGCTATACTAATCATAGAGCAGGAAAACATAGGTAGTGTTGTCAAATTATAGCTATTTGACTTGTAGGCTAGGGACAGAAATTACACATAAACTGGAATAAGTGATTGGGAACTGGTTCAAATCTCTAACACAACAAAAGTTCAGTGCACATAAACTACTTTCAAAATGGCCAAGAGCAAATTAAGATAAACATGGATGGATGTAGTATCAGACTTAAATTATGTAGGTTAAATTGATTTATTGAACTTCTGTGACAGTTCCCCTTCAGATTCAAGTTAACTCACAGTCCCCCAGCATTCCAGGATGCTTTGCAGGGTGGGTGGGCTAGCCTCGGCCCAAGATGTCTACTCCAGTTGAGCAGGGAAGGGTGTTTTAGCACCCCCCCCACAGCTTTTAGATAGGACCACTACAGGCATACAGCTGCATTTCTGGAATCAAAAGCAAATACCTGTTCACCTGCTTATTGGTTCAATCTATGCAGTTCAGACTGACCTGCAAAGATGGAATTGATTCAGCCTCTAGCTTTTTGACTGTCTGTTCTTAGCCCTATAACATATTCTAGGAACTTATGTTGCTTTACTTGAACTATTTTCTCCCAAGTTTTCAGAATCCTAAAAGTTACTTCTCAATGCAAATCAACCAAAATTGCACAAATTAACTACTTTCGCTTTCTTTATTCAAAACAAAACAAAGACCAAAACAGATAACCAACACAAATGCATGCATACCCACACTTGTGTACGCACACTATTTTTGTTTTATTTTACATTTTGGCACAGGCAGCAGAAGTCTGGGGCTAATGGGGCTTAGCCCCCCCAAACATGGAGCAGCAGTGGCAGCACAGAGGGCTGCAGGGCAGCCCAGGTGTGGGCTCCAGGCAGCTGCAGCAAGGTGGGGTAGGGGCGCACACAAGCACAGACACACAGCGAAAGCCTGCAGCAGCTCAACAGCATGTAGAACACTGACTACCACAGCAGGTAAGACTGTCATGAGGAAGGGGTGTGGGGGGAGATCAAGGCCCCCACGGTGAGGGAGGGAGTAGGGCAGGGGCTGGAGTGAATGGGGTCTCAGAGCCAGGGCAGGTCCTGGGATGGTCACAGCCCATCTGGCTTGTCAAAGGGTTCAGGGAGGCTCCTGGCCCTGCACACACCCCAGCGGAGGCCTGGGGGTTATATGCCCCCAGATCTGTGTGCAGGGCAGAGACAGACTGCTGCTGCAAGCTGGGCTCTATGCCACACTGCCTCTGCCTCAGGAGTGGTGTGATGCCATGTGCCTCCTGCATGCTGACTGTGCCGCAACCCCTGCCTGCCCAGAGGTGGCAGGCGCATGGTGTCGCGTCACTCCCAAGGCAGCGGCAGTGGGGCGCAGAGCCCAATACAGATCCAGAGGGCACAGGGCCCATGGGCCTCCGCTGGGGTGTGTGGCAGTGGGAGTTCTCTCCCACCCTCCATGCCCCTGAATGAGCCCCCTAGGCTTTAAGCATCCCATAACCTGCCCCAGCCCTGGGGGTCCATTCAGCCCTGCCCCTGCTCCACTCCCTCACCACAGGCCCCTCAATCTGCGCCCCCATGCCCATTCCCCAAGACAGCCTTACCTGCTGTATGGGTAGGTGCACACGCGCAAGCACATATGCACACAGCTCCCCCGCCCCAATATTTTCACCCTCCACCTACGCATTTTGAAAAATGTAAACTATATTCTGGACAGGACTACACAGCCTTTCCAAAGAGCTAAGCAATAAGAATACCCTACAAATACACTTTTAACAACAGCATAACTGGAAATACCTTTCACTGCATGTCGCTATATCATGTAGACAGTATGCCCCAGAAAAAAAAAGGTGAAGACCAAACAAAGAATAGTAAAACCCATAAATAATAGAGAATTCTAGACCTAAATATTATATATTAAGTAAACATTTAAAAATAAAAATCAATAAAAACATCACACCAGAAACTTCCAACCTCAGAAGTTCATAGATTTCATAGATATTAGGGCTGGAAGGAACCTCGGAAGATCATCGAGTCCAGGCCCCTGCCCGAAGAGCAGGAAGTCAGCTGGGGTCATAGGATCCCAGCAAGATAAGCATCCAATTTGCTCTTGAAGGTGTTCAATGT